ATGGGGAGCATGCAGTGCCGGGCGGTGCCATGGGGAGCATGCAGTGCCGTGTGGTACCATGGGGAGCACACAGTGCAGTGTGGTGCCATGGGGAGCACGCAGTGCAGTGTGGTACCATGGGGAGCACGCAGTGCCGTGTGGTGCCATGGGGAGCACACAGTGCCGGGCGGTGCCATGGGGAGCATGCGGTGCCATGGGGAGCGTGCAGTGCAGTGTGGTGCCATGGGGAGCATGCAGTGCTATGTGGTGCTATGGGGAGCATGCAGTGCCGGGCGGTGCCATGGGGAGCATGCGATGCCATGGGGAGCATGCAGTGCCGGGCGGTGCCATGGGGAGCATGCAGTGCCGTGTGGTACCATGGGGAGCACACAGTGCAGTGTGGTGCCATGGGGAGCACGCAGTGCAGTGTGGTACCATGGGGAGCATGCAGTGCCGTGCCGCGAGGGTGCAGGGCAGTGTAGTGCTAGCGTGTGCAGTGTGGTGCCACCAAGGATGCAGTGTGGTGGTATGGGGGGGATCATGGCGAGTGTCGCAGAGGCTTGTTGTCAGTGTTACAGTGCCGTGCTGTGCCAGTGCCATGGGAGGGTGCAGTGTGGTGCCACAGGGGATGCAGTTATTGGTGGGGCTGTGCAGTGCAGTCACAGGAGGGTGCAGTGCCACAGCGGGTGCAGGCAGTGTTCTGGGGGGCATGCAGCGCAGGCGCAGGATGGTGCAGCGTACTACCATGGGAGCATGCAGTGCCACTGGGGGACACAGCACAGTGCAGGGGATGCAGTGCCGTGCTGTGTGCACACGAGTGGGGGGTGCAGTGTCATGCCCCAGTGGGCAGCACTCACAGGGCAGTGCTGTGCAGCCCTGTGGAGGGGGTGAGCTGGGCCCCGAAGCACTGTGCAGCACGGTGCCACCCCAAGAAGGGGGTGCCAGGTGCTGGGGGTGGGGGGGCGCAAGTGGGGGGACCCCATGCAGGCAGAGTGGTGTGTGGAGGAGCGGCCTCGCTCAGTGTTCAGCCAGCAGCAGGGGTGCAGGAGGCTCCTGCACTCAGGGCTGCTGAAAGTCCAACTTTCCCGTTAAATATAAACCTGCCACGGCTCTCCCCCAGTTAACTGCTCCTGTGGCTGTGGCAGGCCTGCACTTGACAGGCAAGTGAGGCAAGAACCTCCCGAGCTGCCTTCTCCCGCTGCCCAGACCTGCACCGAAATGGCCACTGTCCCCCTTGGCTTTGACATCGATGCCCCGCGCTGGGACCAGAGCACCTTTGTGGGGCGCCTGAAGCATTTCCTCAACATTACGGACCCACGGACGGTGCTGGTGCCGGAGGAGGAGCTGGACCGGGCCAAGGCGCTGGTGGAAGGCTGCAGGTGAGGGGCCGGGGTGCAGCCGGGGCAGGTGCCATCCCTGTGCCCATGGCCGTACCCAACCACCCTGCGGGGCCGCGGGGGGATGGAGGCAGTCATTTCCCAGTGGGTGCGCTGGGACGTAACATCTGTCGGAGGCGGTTTTGGGGGAATTTCCCAGGCTTCTCCCAGGAGCCTCAAGCTGGGACAAGTTTCCCTCGCGGGAGATGTTTCCTCTGCCTTTCATGTTTGGTGCCTGGGGCTTCATGCCCCAGCGGTGCCAGATGCCGGTGGGGCTGTGCGGCACCCCTTGATGGGCTCTGGGCTTGCAGGGCTGGGCTGGTGCCGCCGGGAAGCAGCCAGGAGCAGCTGCTCTACGCCAAGAAGCTGTACGACTCGGCCTTCCACCCTGACAGCGGCGAGAAGATGAACCTCATCGGGAGGATGTCCTTCCAGGTTCCAGGGGGCATGGCCCTCACCGGCTGCATGCTCCAGTTCTACCGGTGAGCCCCTGGGGACTCTGGGCTGGGGACACAGCCCTGACAGCCCCCAGCCCATCGAGGGGTCTCCAAGGGCTGGGGCACTGCCGCTGGCCAAGGCATGCCTGTGGCTGGTGTCCCTGCCTCTGTCTTGTGGCCAAGCCCTGTGTCCCCATACCCTGTCCCCAGCGCTCAGCCTGTGGTGGAAGCATCATAGATCCTCCTGGCCCCAGACACAGCTGGGGAAGGTCTCGCTTCACCCTGAGCTCAGCTCAGCTCAGCTCTTCCTGGAGCCCCTGTAATGATTAAACCACACCCAAGTCCTGTGTGGTTGCTGCTCTTGCTCCATGGACCATAACGGCCTCCAAAACTGAGGACCAAATGTGCCCCCAGGCCAGGCTGCTCCAGCATCCCCATCCTGTGCTGACAGCTCCCTGCATTTCCCTTCTGAAATGGCCGCTGGGGGGTGAGCGATCCTGTCCCCAGTGCAGAGGACATATTGGACAGACAGCACCTTTCCCAGTGGATCCCCATCCCATCCCATCCCACCGCACCCTGGTTTCCTGGACTGGTTTGCCCATTGCTGGTGAGGTCCAGCCTGGGCGAGGCATCTCCCAGTGCTGATGGGTCACCCAAAGGTTGCTGAGACCCACATCTCCCCGTGTCCCCTCCTGCCCCACCTTAGTGCCCCTGAGACAGCGGTAGAGCCCAGGCATCCTGGTCACCCCCAGAGCTGCCTCAGTCCCCATGTGTCTCCTCCTTGCTGCTCCCATTGACAAAGGCTTATCTCAGCCCAGCAGGATGGCTGCCGCCCTGCTGAGAGCTGAGTCTCCCACCCCTGGCCAAATGTCCCACAGGGCTGGGCTCCCTCCTGTGCTCCCCAAAGCTCCACAGCAGTCAGGACTCCTGGGGTCATTTCCCAGCTCTGCCACTGGCTCGCAGCTTTGCCACGGTGCCTCAGTTTCCCTTGGGAGACACCAGGACAAGGGTCTTGAGGGCATCTTGGCTGTCCCCCTGCCAAGCCTGGCCACGGGCACAGGCCAGGTGTCCCTGATGGCCCTCGGGCGCTCTCCCGGTCCTTTCCCTCTGCAGGACGGTGCCCGCTGTGGTTTTCTGGCAGTGGGTGAACCAGTCCTTCAACGCCATTGTCAACTACACCAACCGCAACGCCGCCTCCCCCATCTCACTGAGGTGAGTATGCCCCCACACGGGATGGGGACCCTCTGTGTCGGGACTCCCTGATGCCCCCCCTTAAAGACCCCTCATACCACATCTTGGGCACCAAAGGAACAGGATCGATGAGGCAGCATTTCTTTTCTTTCCCTTCTTCACAAATCACTGTCCAGCCAAATCGGGGTGGCTTACATCACAGCAACCAGTACAGCCCTGGCCACCGCGGTGGGACTCAACCTCTACACCAAGGTACACTAGGATGGGGCTGGGTGGGGGAGCTGGCCACATCCTGCCCTCCCGCACTGACACCAGCCTGTCTCCCGCAGCGAGCCCCCCCCTTGCTGGCCCGCTGGGTCCCCTTTGCAGCTGTGGCTGCTGCCAACTGTGTCAATATCCCCATGATGCGACAACAGTAAGTGCCACAAGCGGCTGGGTGCTCAAGGGACCCAGTGGCAGCCCTGCTGCGGTTTCCCATCCCGGGGGCTGGAGTGGGTGGGAGGACGGGAGGGAGGTGATGTGGGGTCTGCATGTTTTGTGGTGCCAGGTCTCTGATGGAGGGTGCTGGGTGAGGTGGCTCAAGCTTCCGCCCGGAGCAGGAGAGGGATTTGGGGCTGAGAATAGCTGTTCTGGGTCTGGGCTGGAAGATCCCTCAGACCCCATGGGAGAGCCTCAGTCCACCATGTCCTGGCGCTGGGACCCCCTAGATGGGGCCCTTGTGGAGACCTGTGTCTGCTTCTTGGGGTCCCACATGGGCACGGGGAGGTGGGGTGCTGTGCTAGGGACTGTCCCCTGGCTTGGCTGCAGGTCCCAGGCAGGTTTCTGTCTCCAGGACAGCTGGACCCTGTTCGCAGCCATGCCCTGAAGAGGGCAGCATTGGCTGGGCTGGGGGCTGCGGCACCCCAGGGTGGTGCAGCCCTGTGCCCTGGGGCTAGGGCTGGGGGTGGCTGGGGCTGCTGTGCCACCTTGGCACCACCTCACCCCATTGCTGTGTCCTCCTCACAACTGCCCGGCCACCACTCACTGTTGCCTGTCCCCTCCAGGGAGATCATCAATGGGGTGACAGTGACAGATGAGGACAACAATGAGCTCGGCCACTCGAGGGTGAGTCTCTGGATGGGTGTTTGGGTCGGCGCACAGTGTGATGGGGCCTCACTCACTGCTCTTGCTTGCAGAGGGCGGCGGTGAAGGGCATCACGCAGGTTGTGGTCTCCAGGATCACCATGGCGGCACCGGGCATGAGTGAGTGTGGGGTGGGAGGCTGGGGGGGCCAGACGAGGGGCTCCCCCAGGACCTGCCACCTCACCCTCAGTTTTACCCTTGGAAGAAGGCAGCTGGCCCTGCATCCCAAGTGGCGTTTGGTCTCATTCTCACCAATGGAGCTGGTCCCCCCATCCTGCCATTCCTGTCAGAGCCTCCTGAGCTCCCAGCCCTCCCCATCCCAACCCACAGCCTGTGAGGGATGTGGGATGCTCCTGTGGCAGTCGGGCCCCACAAAGACACCTCTTGCACTCTCTGGCCCTGAATCCTCGCCCTCCAGGGAGATCATCAATGGGGTGACAGTGACAGATGAGGACAACAATGAGCTCGGCCACTCGAGGGTGAGTCTCTGGATGGGTGTTTGGGTCGGCGCACAGTGTGATGGGGCCTCACTCACTGCTCTTGCTTGCAGAGGGCGGCGGTGAAGGGCATCATGCAGGTTGTGGTCTCCAGGATCACCATGGCGGCACCGGGCATGAGTGAGTGTGGGGTGGGAGGCTGGGGGGGCCAGACGAGGGGCTCCCCCAGGACCTGCCACCTCACCCTCAGTTTTACCCTTGGAAGAAGGCAGCTGGCCCTGCATCCCAAGTGGCGTTTGGTCTCATTCTCACCAATGGAGCTGGTCCCCCCATCCTGCCATTCCTGTCAGAGCCTCCTGAGCTCCCAGCCCTCCCCATCCCAACCCACAGCCTGTGAGGGATGTGGGATGCTCCTGTGGCAGTCGGGCCCCACAAAGACACCTCTTGCACTCTCTGGCCCTGAATCCTCGCCCCACAGTCCCACATCCCCTTGCCCTCCTTGAGACCCTTGCCGTAAGCCCGGCAGAAGGGACAGGAGCATAAGGAGTACAGAGAGTGTTGCCTGGATGATGGATGGATGGGGATGCCATGCCAGATCCCTGCCATGAGCAAATATGCAGCAGCCCCCACCACCCCCAGCCACTGTCGTGGCCGCCGGGAGGGGAGTTCTGCTGGGGCAGCCCTGTGGGCTGGCTTGTAGGGAGGCTCTGACCTTTTCTTTCTGCACCTAGTTATTTTGCCAATCATCATGGAGCGGCTGGAGAAATTCCACTTCATGCAGGTGAGCCCATGTTTCTCCCTCCACGGTTTTCCAGGGGGTCCTGCGGTGCCTCAACCCTGCTCCCCAGCCACCGAGATGCCGGGGATGAAATGGGGGGGTTGCAGAGCCTGGCTTGCTTTTGCACCCTGTTCGAGTCACCAGTACACCAAAGGTGTCTCTGGTGACATGGAGAGACTGTGGGAGGGTGGCAGGGGTCAGTGGCACCCAGAGGTGTTGGGCATTCAGCCCTCTTGAGGGGAGAAGTCTCCCCACCCCGTGAGCGGGGCTTGTGGTGGGGCTGGGGACTCACTCCCGGCTCTTCCCTTGCAGCGGATCCGGGTTCTCCATGGGCCTCTGCAGGTGCTGCTGTGCGGGGGCTTGTAAGTATCTCATTGCTCGAAAGCCCGTGGGTGCCCAGAGCATGGCTCCAAGGGGTGCTTGAAATCACCCCAGAAAAAAAGACCTCTTTCCCAGCAGGGGATTGCAAAGCTGCTTGCCTTTCAGCCTGGGCTTCCCCCAGTTACTGGGAGTTGTGGGCTGCGAGCAGCACCTCTTGGGCCAAGATCCCTGTGGCCAGGGGGCAAACAGGCTGCGATCCCCAATACTAATGCTCGGCTCTTCTCTGTCCTGCAGCCTCCTGTTCATGGTGCCGGCAGCCTGTGCCCTGTTCCCACAGAGATGGTACCTGTCCCGCTATTTCCCCCTCCTGCGTGCGACCTCGGGAGCCTTCCTCCTCCCCTAGCTCTTCTCTGCCCACCCTTCAACCTGTGGTGGTGCCTGCCTGTACATGCTGGTGCCCCGGGCAGCCGGAGCACGTGTGCCTCCCCTGTTCTGTGAGCTCTGCGCTGGGAGCAATGGGAACCCCAGCCCCATGGGCAGCTCTCTGCGCCCCCAGCTCTTGCAGCAGTGGATGCCAGGGGTGGGTGGGTGGCAGGTCTTGACATGAGCCTGCAAGATCCCAGGGACTGCAAGGGACCTCGAATGGCAATGGGAAGGGAGGGTACCGATGGTCAGGCAGGAGGATCGTGGGTCTCAGTGTCTATCCTCTCTCCCCACAGCTCCCTTGCACTGGCTGACCTCGAGCCGGAGCTGCGCGACAGCATCATGGGCAAGCATGGGGACAAAGTGCCATATGTCTATTTTAACAAGGGACTGTGAACAGAGACTACCTCGGGAGCCATCGCACCTCTCCGTCCCCCTGCCACTACCAGCCCCATGTCCCCCGAGCTGGGCTCAGAGGCACAGTCCAGCCAGATCTGCCCCCCAGCCCAGCACCATCTCTGCTGCCTCCTTCCCCCAGAGAGGCAGGATCTGGCTCTGTGTGCCTGGCTTGCAGCACTTTGGCTTGTCCTGAGCCTCCCCCCATCTGCTGCTGGCCATGTCCTTGCCTCTCCACGTCCCTCTTGCCCTGGGTGACGGCTGCGCTTCCCGTGCCTTCCTCCTGCCCTGTGCAGGAGGATCTGCCCAGCCTGTCTGAGCCTTGTGCGGTCACTGGACTCGGCCCCACGAGGCATCAGGCTCTCTCCCTCAGGGCTGAGAGCACGGTCCTACCTCTGAAAGCAGGTACCCTGCCATTGTACCAGGAACCAAACCACATTGCTGCCTTAAACCACCACAGTGGCCTCTTACCAAGAGCTGGATCATGCCTTGGCAGGCGGGAAAGGACCTGTCCCCTCTGCACGGGGAGCACCCCGAAGTCCAGGGACCAACGCTTGGACCATGCATTCCTTGCTCTCAGGTTCAGGTTTTATTCACTTTGCGATTGCCACAATCCAGGAGAGAAATACCTGATTGTTTTTAAGCTCTAATTTTTGCAATCTACCCATTCCTCTGAATACAAGAGCTAGCTGTCACCCTTGTCCTGCATCTCACTGCCCCCATAGTGGGACCAAGGACTTTGGGGGACAGTTGACTCTGGGCCCCCTTGGACAGGGGGAAGGAAACAGAGGAATCACAAATCTGTCAGGGTGTTAACTCAGGCTCTGAACAGCAACACTGCAAATGACAGAGAGGAGGGTTGAAAAATAAAATGTGCTGATTTTTAAAAAAACAGCTGCAGGTTCTGCTTTTGGCTAGTATCTGGGTGTCTGCTTTCCCGGGCAGGGCTGGTATGTGGGTCTCATGCCTGCCTTGAGAGGGAAAAGTGTGGGCTCTGTGTCTCACCAGGCACCAGGGTGAGTGTCAGCACAGGGGCCAGAAGAAGGAGGAAGAGCTGCAAGGCTCTGCAAGGGCTGCCATGACCCTGAAACACTTGGGCATCCCATACAACCTTCCCCGAAAGGCTCTTGGGGCTGTGAATGCTCCTGAGGGAAGTGACAAAGGGAGGTGACAGTGCTGTGCTCTCTCATCCCATTGGGGGGACTGGGATGACACTGGGTGACCCTTCCTACACTCATCTTTGTCTTCTTGGAGAGGCAGTGTTTGCAGGATGCTAACCTGTGTCTGCCATGAGGCCTCTCCCACCCCAAAGAAGAGTAGCTTGAGTTTGCTGCAGCCTGTTTTTGGAGGAGGAGGGGGCCCCAGAGTTTAGCCCAAGTCCTGGGCTAAACTTTGTGCCCTCAACCAGCTGTGTCCAGGCTCTCTGCTTGCTGATGAACATCCCTCAGTGGGACAAGCGGGTTTCTAATTAGCCATATGATGTGGCTGCTTGGAGAGCCCCATGGCCTAGTGGATGGTCCATGCTTGCCCCTCCAGCCAGGGCAGATCCCCGAGGGCAGGAGCATCTCCGCATCAGCCGCATGCCCGAGTGGAGACACAGGGTCTGCAGCCAAAGGGCTTTCTGGCATTAACTATTCTGCTCCTACAGAGAGAGCAGCCAAACCCAAAATGTACTTTTGAAGGGCCAAGCTGTATCCACAGCAGGTTTGCCTCTGCCCAAGCTGCAACAGGCAGAGGATAATGTCTCCAACCACATGTAGGTACAGCTATAAAGCTGCACAAGAGCTCTGAAATAATTAATAGGTCAGCAGAAAGTGGGAAAACGTGTTCAAACTTGTGTATCTGTTCCCTGGGCATTATTAGATCTCTTGTTAATGCGCAATTAAAAGAATAGATAAGCACATGAAATGAAACAGATGTCACTCCTGTTGGGAGTGGGAAGAAGCCACAAGGAGACTGCTCCGCTCTCTGCTTTTCTTAAGCTCTTTAACTCAAGCTGCTCTTGCCCTACATCCAAAACTGCTTTCAGCACTTTCAGAAAGGTACCTGTAGCACCCTGGGTTGTATTTGGGTCCAAGGTGCCTCTAGCACGCTCAGGAGCATGGTGATGCTTGTAACGTGATGTGCCACCGTGCCCTAAAACTGCTCTTCCCCTGTGCGTTGCAGCCACGCTCCTGCTGTTGACCCTTCCTGTGTTTGTAGTGCTGGGGGTCCCAGCAGGATAGGGGGCTCTGTGGCCAGCAATGCCAGGGCAGCAGCCACCTGAAGCCAAGGTTGGGACCACGGAAGGAAAGCCTCAGTGGTTTTGTCACTCCTTTTTTCATGTTCCCAGCCATAGTGGAGGGGCGGTGGAGCAGGGGGACCCTCTGAAGAGCTATTGCCATCTCGTGCCAGCTGTCCCCCTGCCCTGGGGAGCAGGACGTGGTGCAGCTCATTGCTTTTGGCCAGAGGGAGAGGGTTGCTCTGGGCTTGGAGGATTGGCAAGTTGGCCAGCACCATTCTCACGCCAGACTTCCCCCACCCCAAGTTTATAGCGGTGGATTCCCTCTTCAGATCAACATGGATTTATGCCAGCTGACAGTTTAGCTCAGTGGGGTTTCTGGGTTTCCAGGTTGTAGCTGGAATCTCCCCCGGAGGATTCAAGTCATCTCAACAGCTCGTATCACTTCAGTGTCAGGAGATAGTTGTTGCAGCCGGTGCCTGCCTGCACTCCCCAAAACCACAGTAACTCCCCAGCCTGCCTTGGTCTCACTGGGGAGCAAGAGGGGTCGCAGCCAGGCTGTGGCCAGCAAGTCCCCATGCTGCCAAGGGTGGGTCCAGCCAGCTCTGCCTCCATTTCCCATTGCTGCAACAGGAAGGAAACCTCATTGCCAAGAGCTGGTGCTGGACTCATCCCTGTTTGGGAAGAGCTGCAAGTGTTAATTGCTCTCCAGTGATGAGTCACACCTGATCTGGGCTTGTCCCATGCTCCCATGCACTCGCCGCCTTCTCCCTGCTGTGACTCTAATTTCAGGGCTAGCTGGGAACAGGAATAAAGCTCTTCTAGTAGCTGTGCATGGCCAAAATATCAGTGCTCCACCATGTTTATGACCTCCCTTCAAATGATAACCAGATCAAAGATGACATGTTGGGTGCCTGGCCTGGGGAGGGGCTGGGGGGGCGTGGGAGGCTGGGGTTCTCCTCTGAGGCATCAGCAGCCCCAGCAGGCAGGCTTGGCTCACTTCTCTTTGCCCAGAGGCTGGTGGAGACTGGTGAACCGGCTGCCTACCGAGAGAGGAGCAAGCAGGGTGCACGTGCAACGGGTTAACACCTACCGGCCCACGCCAGCGGCATGCAGGCAGGCGAGCTGATCCAGCGGGGCTAGGTGTGCCCCAAGTACTGCCCTGATTGAAAAATGCCGGGGTAGGAGATAAGCTGCTAAGTCAATTATTCTTTTTCTGGCTTTTCTTAACTTGTTATCTGAGCATCTGATAAACCTTGCCATGCCAATCCAGCATGGAGGCTGCCTGGCGCACTGGGAGCGGTGGTGTGGAAAGCCTCTGCCCCTGCCCCAGAAACACGGGCCATCTCCCCTGAGCTGTGAATTAACCCCAAGCGCTGGTGCCCCCACTTCTCCTGGGGTGCAAGCTTGGGTGGGGGACCACTGCGTGGGGACATGCTGGGACCTGGCCCTGGTGGGAGATCCTCCTGCTGGGGCCGGCACCAACACATGGCTGCCCGCCAGGTGCCTCCAGTCCAGCCCCATGCCACTGCCGCCATTTTAGCACCTTCTCCGTGTCAAGCTCCCCCGTGTGCCCCAGGTCCGGGTGGGCTGTTTGGGTTTGGGGCTCTGTGGCTGCTTTGGGGAGGAGGCCAAGCGGGGATCACAGTAACCGGGCGTAACCAGGTGAATGGGGGATCAGTGCCTGGCTGCCATTGGGGTGTCAGGGAGGCCGCAGCAGGCCAGAGGGTGCTTGTGGAACCCCCTTT